TTTTCATTTTTAAATCTTTTTTTTTTTTTTTTTTTTTTTTACATGTATTGCAATAAGAAATACTGTAATAGTGATTTTTTTATTTAAATATAAGTTTCTAAAGACAGTACAACAAATACTACCATGATATATAAATATTCTTGATTTAAATTATATATATTGTATATATATAATTATACATATATTATGCATTATAGTAATTAGAATACTACAAAAAGAAAGAAAAAAAGAATTAGAATATTTGGTTTGTTTTGCAATTGTGTGACTGGAATTTCAGGGGAAATTGGTATAATTGTCCTGAAAGTAATGTCATAATCAAAATCTTAAAATAGGCTTTGTTTTATGTATACAATATTTAATTACTCATTTGGAGGTGAAATGACCTGGAAATGTTCTTGGCAGGATTTGTGAGATTCTGATCCAAAAATCAGGTCCAGTCAAATCAGCTGTGATTAAAACATAGACTGTTATTTTTAGAAACCATAGCTGTTTAAAAAAACAAAAAACATTAGACTATCAGTTTTTGTGAAATGATGTTTTGTTTAGCAGATATGGTACGAGTTCCTGAAAATTTATCACTGCCAAATGCAGGCAACAGGAATGAGCTTTGTCCTTGTTTTATCAGAGCTCAGGACACAACATTAAGCAGCATTGTGAGAATCTCAGACTACAGCCACTGGCCTCGGGAAACAACAGAAATAGTGAGAAAACAAGAAGGTGACAAGGTCTGTGCCTCACCTTTCGTTTACTTAAAGGAGAACAGATAGAAAGAGACCAGAGGCACCACACTGTAAGTGCCACGTTAGTTGCTCTCTCTCCTCTTAATCTCCCACCATAAAATAGTGCAGTCCATTGAGCAAGTACAGAGAAACAAGCAGAGGGGGAGTGTGGGGCCTTTCCATGATCACTTTGGAGGGTCAGTGGTGAGTGAAAAATGCTCCACTGGTTTTGGTTTTGATAATCAAGCCTCTGTTGTCCAGGTCATCTTTGTTTCCATAAAAATGAGAATGGCCTGAAATCACAGGCCCTGCCAATGACTGCGTGTTTCACTGGGACCTTTCAGAACGCGGTTGGAATTGATTTGTTTGGAAGTAGAATACATCCATTAGCAGTGTTTGCTAAGGCAAGCATAACATTTGCTATTGCTCATTCTTACAGTTAGGGGTTTGCTTTCAACTACTACCTTTAAGGGATAGTTCACCCCCCAAAAAATAGTATTTTGTCATAATTTACTCACCCTTGTGTTGTTCCAAACCTCTGAGTTTCTTTCTTCTGATGAACATGAAAGAAGATATTTTGAAGAATGTTGGTAAACAAAAAGTTGACGGTAGCCATTGACTTCCATAGTACATTTTTTCCCATACTATGAAAATCAATGGCTACCGGCAACTGTATAGTTACCAACATTTTTCAAAATATCTCCTTTTTAGTGGAATCAAAAAACAGCAAGGTCTAGAGATGCATTTTTTTTTTTACTTTTAACTTGAGCGCCGTATTTTTAGAAAGCTGTGAAACACTGCAAAAAAAAACGCAAGATGTCAAACCGCAACGGTCAAACATATTCATATAGTGCATGTTTACATAGAAAAACAATGGAAACGCAAAAACTGTTTGTGCTAATGACTTGAATATTAGGTTACCTCAAACTGTGTATCTTTCAAAAAGCTCTCAAAACAACCTAGCAACTGCATAGCAACACGCTAGAAACTCTTCAAAACACCCTAGCAACCACATAGCAATGTGCTAAAAAGTCAAAACACCCTAGGAGCCACATACGTATAGCAACATGATAAAAAAGCTTTCTGAACACTCTAGCAAATCCATAATAATGTGCTAAAACCTTTCAGAACATCTTAGCAACTGTATGTGATCTCCAAATCTTGCAGAACTTCCTAGCAACTACAGTACTTAGCAACAACTTCCTGGCATCATAGCAGTACATTTTGAATGTTTTTCTTCCTCGAAAATGTAACAAGGATGTGCATGTGTGTGTGGCCTCACAGCAACAACTGCACTTCACAAGCTAAACTTTCCCACCTCTTGCTCTGGCTCTTCCTCTCTCTGTAAGATATCCTCCAGACACTTAAACATTTTCCAGAGCATCTTTATTCACTGCTAACACTCCAGCACTCAGCAGCCCTGTGCCACATTTCATTTGGGATTTGAAACAGCTCTCATGGAAATG